CTCTTATCCATGCCAGCCCCCACAACTCTAACTGGCCTTGAACTGCTTGCCAAATTTGGAGTTGATGGCCACGATGCATGGTGCGTCGACATGGTTGACCAAGAAATTGCCGGTCAACCTCACGATTGCAAAAGACCCAGACTGAGCCTAGTTTATAGACCCTAGTGTTGAATTAGGTTCTTGGCAGGATTTGGATAGAGGATGGACCGTCTCCACCAGTTGCTTCCAAATCAGCGGGAGGGTCAATGGTCCATGACCTAAACAATCAATCTCCAAATCGAACCAACCACTGTTGACCGATCAATAGATGATCTAGAGAGTAAGATTGGAACATTGCAGTCTTCAAGCGCTCCGGATCTGGAACAATCTGGAACTGGTTGTTCGGAACTGTCGCCAAGAGCACCAATTCTTCCAGGCTTTTGGCTTTCTTGGCCTGCAACGATGATGGCCAATTTGAGGCGGGAGGTGGTGCCCGAGTGGGGGGTAGGGTCTGTAGGTTCCTCGCTTCTTGGCTTGCTGGGCCTGCAGGTTGATACAAACAGAACGTTTATAACCACCTAAACGCATTTGTGCCTTGGCATCATCCTTCACTTCACTTCTTTGTCTTTTCCTTTTGGTTCAGCCTCCTTCTCTTCCTCCTTCTCTTTTTCTTTTGGCTTTGCAACTTCATTGGCTGCTGCTGATCCGGCTCCTGATTCCTTGGCTGCTTCTGTTGGCTCACACGCATCCTTGCAATCGTCTTGACTGGCCTCCTTGCTTTTGTTCTGCTTTCCTACTCCTCGTCGTCGCTTTTGCTTGGGCTCGTCATCCTCTTGATCTCGCTCTGTTTTGAGTTTCTCCTCTTCAGCCTCCATGTGTGCATCCATGCCCACTAGGTCCTCCTGCTTCGATTGCTTCTTTGTCTCTTTGTTTTCCTCAGTCAACATCTCATCATTTTCATGTCCCTCGTTCTTTTTGGCTTTGGCCTTGCCTCTTCCGCGACCTCTTCCCTTTCCCTTTGTTGAGGCCTTTGCTTCTGCCTTAGCTCGTTTCTCTTCCCGGATCTTGTCTCTTGCATCCTTCTGTTCCTCCAGAAGTTTTGCTGCTTCACTCTCGTTTGACTTCTTTTGGAACTCCTCCGGGATCATCAAAAGTTCAGGCGTCTTTTTCAAGAAAGGGCGGTAGTCCGCGAAAGCAGTCTTGGGAGCTTCCTCATCACTGCCTCGATCATGCTCGCCCTCGCCATTTTTGTCACCTTTGCGCTCCTCCTCCTTCTCCTGTGCCTTCTTACGTGCTGCAATGAACTCTGCGCAAGCTTTTCTTTCATCCTCCAAGTCTTCCTTCTCCTGCTCCTCGCGGAGTTTCTGGCGTTCTTCCTCCCTGACTCTTTCACGGATTGTCCTCTTGCATTGAAGGACAACTTGTTGTTTTTCTTGACGCTTCTGCTCATCACCCTCTCTCTTGGCCTGAAGCATTTCAAAGATGGCCGCTTCAAACATTCCTGATTCATCAATTTGGTCTGCTTTGATTTTCTTCAGCCCTTCCTGGGTTGCTTCCTTTTCGTCACGATCTTTCCTTTTCCTTGCCTCAGCCTCCACTCCTTCTTGGGCCTTCATCAATTCCTTTTGCTGTGCTTCCTGAAGCTGTTTCTTTTTCGCGGCTATCTTATCACTTGTTTCCTTCGCATGTTCTTGCAGCCGCTGAACCTCTTCATCAAGCTCCATTGCAGTCCTCTTTGGTGACGCAGCGTCCTTTTCCTTTTCCTCATAAGCTTCGACCTGTGCTGCTTGCATGCTTCGAGCCTCCTCCTCGATTCTTTGGTTGTATTCCTGGCTCGCCTTTTTGAGCTCCTCCAACTGGTGTTCATCAAGTGGCTCTGGTTCTTCATCTTGTACTTCTTCGTTTTTCTTGTCTTCAATCTTTTCCTTTCGCTCTTCTTCTACCTTCTCGTGTTCATTTGCCTTCTTGTGTACCTTCTCCTCTTCATGCGCCTTCTTTTCTTCAACCTCCTTTCCTTCTTTTTTTGTCTCTTCTACCTTCTCCTTTCCACGTGCATCCTCGTCTTCAACCTTCTCCTTTCGCTCTTCTCGCACGTCTTCTACCTTCTCACGCTCATTTGCTTTCTTTTCTTCGACCTCCTTTCCTTCTTCTTTCGTCTCTTCTACCTTCTCCTTTCCACGTGCATCCTTGTCTTCAACCTTCTCCTTTCGCTCTTCTCGCACATCTTCCACCTTCTCACATTCATTTGCCTGCTTTTCTTCGACCTCCTTTCGCTCTTCTTTCGTGCCTTCTACCTTGTCCTTCTTTTCATCACGCTCTTCCATCTCTTCTTGAGCAATCTCCTCTGGATAGTCCTTCTTTTCTTCGATCTCCTTAACTTTTCCTTCGACCTCTTCCAGGACCTTGTCATCTTCAAACTCTTCTTCCTCTTCCTCTTCCTCGATGACCACTATGTCCTCATCCTCTTCATCGCCCTCTGTTTGGGCTACGCTTTCGCAATCTTTCCTGGCACCTGTGACTTCTTCATTCTTGTCCTTTGTGTCTTGGTCTTCCTTCGTGACATCCTGGCAGCGAGCGGGAACGGAGACAGTGGAAACATGATCAAAAAGTATCACCTGGGCAGAAAGTGGCTTCCGAATAGATCTTGTTCGCTTTGCGATGCCAGCGCCCTGCAACATGTGATTTAGTGAAGTTTGTTTTGATGCCCAAGAGTGGTTTCAAAAGATGTTGAAGGGTTGATGCGAACCTCAAAGATAGCACGAATCAGAGTCTTGAGCTGGTGCATGGGGCAGTCCAACTTCCTGCCAAAAAAACAACTCTAGAGCTCAATTCTGGAACAATGCGCGAGAGAGCCTGGCATTGGGTGACCTCCGATAGGAATTGAGGATCTTCGCTTGAAGAAGTCGATGTAAATTTCCTTCCTCTTGGGCCCACTCCTGCCGCCAGATACGCAGGAACCCCAGGTAGCCCTGAAAAGAATTGTTACACTCCTCAACATCTGATGTGACACTCCGATCCGCGACCAGGTGGTGCTCCACAGCGACGCACGCCAAGGCTTCCTGGGGTGAGAAATGCTGATGAGAACTATGGGTGAACTTGTTGCAAGTACCGAACAATGCATTGTAGCCTGGACTTCCTTTGACGTGGGCGGGTTGAGGGCAAACGTCGGAAGCCACGATGACAGAAAGGCAACGTTCCGCTTGGACTGCATCTGCAAACAGAGCTTTTGTACATGCAGTTCATCCATGATTTACAATTGAAATATGCCAGGCTCACAATGTTTTCATCCAATCCTCTTTTCTCATGAATATCGATGAAGGTGAAAGTGCATGGTACCTGGCCAGGCACGTGACTTATTTACTCTAACCCTAATCTTCGCTGACTCTAAAAAACTTCGTCATTGTCCCGGACTAGCTATTTTATTTGACTCTAAAGAAATTTGTTATTGTCAAATGACCTGAATTCGGGGGTCGCACCTTCTTCTCCTGCATGGCCTTTGCAAACCTGGTGTATGGAATGCCTTCCTTCTTGGAAAGCTCCCAGAACCGATCTTCTCTGAAGCCATCCGAAAGTTGTTCTTCGTAGAAATCCTGGCAGTTTAAGTTAGGTTGTGGGTCAAGCTGTCCACCAGAACTGACACATGAGGGGTCCTTCAACAGCGCGACTCTTTCCTCGTTAGGCTTGACGGTCGGCATCTACGTCTCCGAGAGACCGCCCAGCGAAGTTCAAAAAAAGTGGGCCGGCAAGCCACTATCCCTGTAAGGGTTTTGAGCAAAGCGACCACGAATCGCAGTGATTCCAAGTCAGGTGATTTCAGATGCAATCCACTTAAAGCTGGTGAGCAAATCAAGCACTTGTGAGTGCAAAAGGGAAGAGGCACCTGCTCCAACTTCACGAAGATTCCATTTCCCTGGGAATGGGAAGGGTGATAATGGGACACCTGGGCCTGTGCGGATCTTAGGTCCTGGCGTTTCCGAAGAGCTTTTTGCATCAGGGGCTTGCTTCCATCTCTGAGCCACAATTGGGCCAGCTCGTTCCACAAATGTACAATGACGAAGTTTAACCGAGTAAAACTTAGTCCGGGACAATGACGAAGTTTTTTAGAGTCATTGAAGATTAGGGTATATATAGGTTGTTTAACGCTTAATGGAGATTGACTTTTCAGGATCTATACAGATCATGTCATTTGGAATAACATTTTGGGAGCATTCTGACTGCTTCTTTCCCGTGTGTTTCGATGCTTCGGTTCCATGCCAACTTTCAGGCGCGGAACCGACTAAGGGAGATGAAAGCCGGAAAGGGATCAATGTCAACTGCACCCTCTGCTAAGAGGAACTACACCTCTACACCAGCAGTCACAGAGGGTGCTTAATGAAGGCTAGGGGTGCCCAGAACATCCACTCACTGGATGGGACTAAATACCACCCAACTCCATGTGACTCCTGGTATGTTCTGTGAAGTCTCGGCAAGGCCCAGATCCTAACCGCCCATCACATCCAAACACCCGCCCGCGCGCAGTCGCCAAGCGGCGCACTTCACCTCTACCCGCCCGTCGCTCTCCAAGGCTAAGAGCACCGAATCCTTGCAGCTCTCCTCAAAGGAGGACCAGATCTGTCAGTGAACAAACTTCGCCGAAGCCAGGTAGATGACCTGGGCAAACTTGGCAAGTTGTTCTTTTTTTCTAAAATCACATGGTAAAAGAACAGTTTTAAAGGCGATGGTTCGTCGGGAACATAAGGATCATAAGGTTTGACAAAGCGGGTTCAGCTACCATCAACCAATGCTTCCCCACCTGACATGCTAGAAGTAGAATCCCCGCTCTCATGTCATCTCCATATCCCTAGGCCTCCAAGTACCTCCTGAGAAGGTGTTTGGGGTGGGTGCCAGGCGGGTCCAGTCCTACCTTCTGAGGAGGTACGACTGGAGGTGTAGGGTCTAGTATCAAGATGTATCAAGTGGGTCCACAATGGTCCACTAAAGCTAGGAATTGTGATACTTCACCTCATCCGGTGGAAGTGTCGTAAATCCCCACTGCGTCCGCAAGAGTGAAGGTGCTGAGAGTTTCACCCCCCAGAGGTCTCCGAAAAGGTTCGCCAGGAGCACCCGACCAGCGGCCGGGCCTCTTCGCTCGGAGGGGACCCGGGCAGTCTCCCCACCGTCTTCATTGCTTCGTTGGCCTGCTGGCCCGCTGGCCACCGCGTCAGCACTGGCTTCAGCTCCCTTGAATAAGTCACCGAGGCACTCGACCACACCTCTTGCAAGCGAAGTAGCCACGGCTGGGCATGAACTTTCGACCTGAATACCTCCACAGGGAGACATGCTGTGCGCGTTTGAGCCGGTGTGGAGTGGTTCGAATGTCTTGACACGTTGGAGCCACCTCCAGACTCCAGACTGCCTAATTAAGGGCTGTTGAAACAAAGTACACTAATCACTATAATCGCTGATCACTAAACAAATAGGTCCACCAAAAACAGGCATAAAGCACCACGGCCCGTTCTGCGCGGTGGTCCAACTACTAACTGACCCGTCCACCCAAAAAGGCCGTGCTTTTGGGGGGAGGGGGGTGTTCGCTGTGGGAGTCGCACTCGAATCTCGGCATCTCCGGCTCCGTCTTCTCCAAGTGGCGGCCCTTCTTCTTGATCCGTCGCACCGTGCAGCACCTCAGACACACCGGCGGCCCACCGGCGGCACCACCCGCGGGGACCAGGGCTCCGCACCTGAATCTCCCAATCGGAGAGAGGATCCTGCAGTCGGTGCCGCGGAACCGGGCCCTGCTTGGGACCAGGAAGTTGGAGAGGAAAAACGAAGTAAAAAAAAGAAAAGGCATCCAGTGTTTGGAGAATTTGGGGGGAGCCCCCCCAAAAAGGATCCAGTTCTTCATCAGGGGATAGGGTATCTCCATTTCAACCAGCTCCTCGAAGACAGGGGCGCAACCTTCCTTTTGACGTCGCGAATCCCGTCGCTTCATTCTCGTCGCGCCGAGGAGATGTTCAACGCCGCAGTTGATCTGTCATGGACTGCCGGCTGGGCACTTGTGGCGCCAGTCTGAGTGAAGAGCTCACAGGAGTGAGTTCACACCTCATACTGTTTACCAGTCCATGGGTTGAGGATGGCAAGGGTTCGGAAAACCCGCTTTGATAGAGCCACTCGGGCGCACGCCTTTTTGGCATTACATCTAGCAATGTGGATGATCATGGCATCATGCCGCTGAAGCATGCTGTCATTGAGGGGTTCCTTGTCATCATCAGAGTCGTATCCCCATTGCCTCTTCAAGCGCTCGATCTGCTTTTCGACCTTTCTCCTCTCTTCGTTCTTCACCGATCGGCGCTTCTTCTTGAGCTGGTCCATGGCAGCTTTGGGGTTTTCCTCGCCCCAAATATGCCCATTCCGTTTCTCATTGCATGCTTCCACGACGATCGCGTGGTAACGCCTCCTTGCTGCGCGGCTGCTCAGGTCCATGTCCTCCTTGCTTGAAATGTAGTCTAAGAGTTGATCTTTGATCTCTTCTGCTACTATGCGGTACTCACGGCACTCATCCTTAAGCCCATCAAGGATCAGTTCAATCCGGTTTTCCTCGGGGTAGCGGCAACGCTGGTCCAAGTCTTTTGGCTTAACTGCCATAAACTTGCCGAGCCCTTTCAACGCCGTGTCCACAGGCATGGCCTTCACGCAGGCACATTGCTGATGGATTTCCTTTCCAGGATTTCCACAGAGAAAGTCGAATAATCCAGGCCCCCGGCGCCGAAGAAGGCGCTTCTTGGTGGTTTTCCTCCCGCCCTTCATGACTTTGGGCAACTGGAAGCTTCCAAACTCCAAGTCAGCGTCTAGGTTGACGTAATCATCAGCTCCGCTGGCACCGCAACTAGCTCCAATGTCGCCGGCATGTTGAAGACCAGGATGATCAGGATCCCAGCTCCCCTTTCCGGGCAATAAGCGCAGCTTGTCGTCCGTGGGCACCAATTTCAGCCATGCTGCACTTTCTTTCACCGGCTTCTTGACTGACTTGGCTGATTTGGCAGCTGCCTTGGCAGCCGGTCTTTTCATGTCTCGCACCAACTCTGAGGATTTGAGCTGTGAAACTGCAAGAGGAGCGAAGCGAAGCGACCTCCCCTTTCTTGCAAGAAGAGCCTGACTACAGCCGCAAGAACCATCGTATAGATGTGACGTATAGCCCATCCGCGTCTCGTTTCGGGCCTTTCGGGTTGATATCAGGAACATGATGGAATAGTGAGTGTCGAGTGGTCACATCAACAAACTCTCTTGAGCCCTGTGGGACAAAGGCTCCTTGCCGGTGAAGCCTTCTGGAGCAGACAAACTCTCCTCCTGGGGCGCACATTGAAAGAAGCCATAGACAGTGAGTGTAGGCCACTGGGCGTGATTGTGCTGTTGTTACACAAGTACTTTGACGGTAACTCCCTTGCTTCCTAGTCCAAGATGAGAAGTCTGAGACGATCTAAGATGAGTTTGTGATAGTCATAGTGTACAAATTTCCTATTCCAAGGTAACTGCACCTTGCCCATGCCCAGTCCTTCTCTGCTAGCTCGGCTTGTTGCTTCTCCTTGTAGCTCATCCCGCCCTTGCCTTCCAGGTTGGACATGCCAAAACAAAGCGGCTGCTTTGGAACATTGGGCATATAAGGTTGGTCGTCGAACAGACTCCGTGAAAGGTGGTTTTTCCACCTTTCACCCGACATGAAAGGTTAGCAAAACAAACAGAACGAGTGTAGAACGAGGAGCGCTTGTTGGCCACTACAGTTGGATGAAAGGTTTTAAAAGAATCTTTGGGGTGCGCACGCACACATATATCATATCATATCATATCGTGTTTTTACGCCATAACTATCCCACCTATCAAGGCGTCAAGTCGTTGGCACTAACCTACTTCCAGAAACTATACATATATATATATATACAATCTAACCGGCACACTCTCTGTCCCCACCATTGACTGCGATCAAAAAAGCAAATGCATGAAGTGTGAAGGTGAGGTGATTTCACACTGAGATTCACATTGAGGATATTCACACTGAGAGGCGATTCTTGCGACTGCTTTCTGAATAGATAACATTGAAAGGGTGGTTGATATAATTACTTTGCTTGTGCAATAAGTTGTTCTCTGATATTGCGATTATACTTGTTGAAATGTTGTCTTGGCTGAGCTTGGTTATTGATACACATAATATCCCAGGCCTTTTTCATGTTGTTTGTGGTCCAGCAGAGTCTTGGTCTTCCCACCCTGCGGTTTGTCGTTTCTCTTGGCATTGCTGATGCTGTGGAGAAAGTAACTTGGTGTTGAGGGTGTTGTCTTTCTCTTCTGAGCACGTGTCCGAGTAATTTGAGTTTCCTTTCTTCAAGTTTCTCTGTCATGGGTTTTACTTTCCTGAATGGCCCTGCAGTTGGCGCATTGAGCGCTTCATTGGCTGTGCTGTAAACCAATTCATTGGTATTTTCACGTTGGACGTAGGTAGTTCGCAAATTAAGGACTTTTCTAAGTCTTTTGAGTTGGAATGTGTTGAGAAGCTGCGCCGCCCCCTGTGTGGGTTCTAAAGTTTCCAAACCATTTAAAATCTTGCCGGTAATACATGCATCGTATACTAACAGCTTCAATCTTTTGCTGCGGCGAGTGTTGAGCCAAAAATGTAAAAAAAACATATCATATCATATCATATCCAATCAATCAATCAATCAATCAACCAACCGACCAACCCACCGACCAACCCACCGACCAACCAACCAATCAACCAATCAATCAATCAATGTATCTATCTATCGATCGATCTATCTATCTACCTGCCCAGCCCGGGGCCCCGCCGGCCTTTCGCCGCCTTACCAGGGCCCTTGCCTTTGCCCTTGGCCTCGAAGAATCCAAAGGCGCCGACGCATCGAGGGACGCATGTCGTGGGGTTCGGAGCGTCATTTGGTACCATCTTTTTGTTCGGTCTATCTGTCTTGGCTCATCGCCTCCCAGCTGGCTTCATCCGAAAGTCACACCCAGATCCTCCCGGAATCAACCCTTTCATGCGGCTTCAGCGGCTGAACAGTGGAAAGACTGTTTTCCCATATGCCGCAGTTTTCGCCCATCATGTCAGTTTGGACCATGATCAACTTGATTAAACCAAAGCCATCGTACCACCTCGCCCTTCACCCCCGCACCCTTAAAGCATTCCACTTCGCCCCACCTCCGCTTTCGCGTTTTCCCCGTCGGAGACGGGTGCCGCACCGTGACCTCAGGGGCAGATCAGCGCTGCCGGCACCCGGCACCCGACCCACGGAGCGTCCGCGAGAAGGAACGGAAGCGCTGGAAGAGGTCGTTCGCTACCCCTAGGCCCCCAGTCGTGCCTTCTGACTGAGGTACGACTGGAGGTGTAGGGTACATGGTGGACTGGTCGGGCTCACGGTTTGGACCACACTCATAAGCCAGAGGCCCAGTGGATCCCAGTGTAATTGTTATTACTGGTACTTCCTATGCATGCAGGATGTTCTGAAAAATCCACCCACAGGTGGAAATTCGCGAAGTCGAACCCACGAGTGCGCTCATCTAATCCCAGTCGCTGAGGAATGGTTGAAGTGGGCAGAATTCTGATGAAGCGTTAGCACCCCCC